GAGGCTGACAGGAGTAGCAAGTCTCCTCTTTGTCCCAGTGACCTCCAGGACAGAGTAGAACCATCCTAGGCTAGCATCGTGATGCGCCAGCCGGCAGCCACGGCTCTTGGTCCCGCTGAGTGGCCCGATGGGTTCAAACCGCCAGGCTTTGGATTAGCAGCTGAGCACTTTGCCAGCACCACCGGGGCGCCGGTCAGCAAACACAGGACGGAAAACCAAACCTGTAGCCCTGGAGTGGACGCCCACTCACCGCGAGCCTGGAGGGCAGAATAGGCGTGTCCCCTGGCGTTTGCAAGGCTGTCATCTTTACGGGAGCTGACTGCCACGGATCTCTCCCGCCGCCGCCACCGCCGCCGAGCGGCTGATGAGTGAGGGTTGAACTGCTGCACTGCCCCGGAAAGCTCTAGATGAAGAGTCCGCACATCAAGGTGAAGAAGCTCTGGATCACGCTGCCAAGGCCCTGCACATCACACACTCTCTAGGGGAGGAGCACACCTCTGGGCGGTGTGGTGGGGAAACAGACAGACAGACACCGACAGACTGTTCAGTTGGGGTTCCCGTGAGCAACCACGTGTCAGGTACAGACATTCCCCAATAAACACACAAGGACAGGCTGCCCATTACATTCGAGTTTCAGATAAGCAACAAGTGACTTTTCGGCGTCGGTCTTCAACGAGAAAGGGGGACACGTGTGCCGGTTCACACAGAGGCTGTCGGTGAAACCGGGATTTCATATGGGCAGGCGATGCATGGGAGACTTTGAACCGCAGAGAAATCTCGCCGCGTCTCTGAAGTCCACACTTGCCTGGGCGAGGTGTGCTTGAACCCCCCCGCGCCCCCAGGTCCCACCTCTCCTTGTCTCAAGGACAATCAGGCCATGGAGTCACTCAGCCAGCCTGCCCAGGGGAAGGGTCGGGCACTGACCCTTCCAGGAGTCTGGGGATGAAGTCCCACCATGGCCAACCTCTGAAGGAGGCCTCCCGGGTGGTCAATTCAGAGAACCCACCGCCCTCCCAGCCTACCCTCCTATGACAGACGCACAGCACCGAAGTGGTGTCCTGGCCCGTGTCCCGGGTGTCCTGCCCTTGTCTCCCTGTCCTTCCCGCCTGACTCCATCACCTCCCACTCAGGGGCCCATGCATAGACAGACAGCCCCTCTCCCTCTGGTCCTGGCGGGCAGAGCCCCTGTTCTGTTGTTCCCGCACACAGCTGCAGGGGCACCCTTCACTCCGGGCCATGCCCTCCCTCTGAGGTTGACGCAGGGTGACTCCGTGTCTGTCACAATCGAGCTGGGCCTCCAGGACCCGAGGCACCATTAGTAGCCAACTGCCTTAACTGTTTAGCACCCAGGGGCTGGGGCCTCCATTCTCAGGGACCCCCTGCACAACTCTCAGTTCTCAGCTTCACTAATTCCCAGTAGGGGGCAGCAGTGGTCCCATGGTAGAAATCTCACCTTCCACTCAGGAGAACCCAGGTTCGATTCCCGGCCAGCAGCCTCTGGCACAGCTACCGCCATCTGCCAGTGGAGGCTCGCCTGCCGTGGTACTGTGGCACAGGCTTTCTGGACTAAGACACAAGAGGAGGGGAGCCCCAGTGGTCTCCTTTCGAAATCGGCCCAAGGAAGCTCTGTGGATCACAGCCATCCGATGCGCCACCAACCCTGGGGACCGCTGCACAGGACCCACCGGGGTCGTGGCCGCATCCCCCTGTGCTCAGGGTCCTCAGGAATTGGGAGCCGACTCGCTGGCAGAGAACAAAGACAACAGCTGGTCACACGCTTCCGTCCTACTCGGCTGTCTCTGCCGAACCGAAAAATCACACTCACCACCGTCGAGTCCATGCCGACTCTCAGTGACCCTACAGGACAGGGTAGAACGGCCCCTGTGGGCTTCCGAGGTGGTCACTCGTCACGGGAGTCAGAGCCCCATCTTCCCCTGGAGGAGTTGCTGCTGGTTTTGAACTGCCGACCAGGTAGTGAGTGGCCCAGCGCGTAACCAGGAGACCCCCAGTGCTCCGTGCGGCTAGCTCTACAGGGAAAGGCAAGTTCCTCCGGGCCCAGAACTGTGCATTCAAGTCTGCCGTTGGCTTCAGCTTCCAGGAAGCATCGTTCAAAGAGTCTGTGTTAATGGAGGGGAGTCTCTGAAAGACACTGCACCGTGGACCAAGAGAAACCGGAAGGCAGTGTCTCCCCAGGGACAGCATTGAGAAGGCAGGAAAGAAGGAGAGGGGATGGAGGCGGGAAACCCAGGGAGGGAGTGGGGTTCAGGATGACGCACCAGCAGGACTGCCATCCTGGAGATGAAGCAAAGGCTGGAAAATAGATTTGCTCTGAAATCACTTGATCCACAAGGTCAAGCCAAGGAAATGGCCATCTCCTTGACCCACATGCCCAAGCCACTACTCCTTAAGTTGTGCTGTATGAATGCTGTGGCCTGGTCCAAGTTGGCGGTTTGAACCCACGCAGGCCCCCGGGAAGACAAGTCTGGTGGGGTGGGGTGGGGTGCTTCCTGGAAGGTCCCAGCCCTGAAAGCCCATGGGGCACATCTGCTCTGCACATGGGGGTCCCCTTGACTCTGAATCCACTCCGCCGCCACCACCACCCAAAGCCCCCATGCCTCCCCTATTACCACCCCCTCCCCATTTGTCACTCTCCTATTGCCGTTGAATGACTGCCTTTGACTCACTTGGTGTTGGGTTTTGCTGTTGAAGGTAACGCCCCCCCTCCCAAGAAGATCACGTCCTGGTTTCTCTCCAAGGGGCAGGGCAAGACTCGGGATGACTCGGCCGACTACATCCCCCACGACATCTACGTCATCGGCACCCAGGAAGACCCCCTGGGGGAAAAGGAGTGGCTGGAGACCCTCAAGCACTCCCTCCAGGAGATCACCAGCATAACCTTTAAAATGGTGAGCCGCAGGGGTCAGGGCCGGTGAGCAGCAGGGCAGGTGAGCAGCAGGGCCCCAGGGCCAGTGAGCAGCAGGGCAGGTGAGCAGCAGGGCA